TATTACATTATTATTATATATATATATATATATATATATATATAATTATATATGTCTATGTCCCCCAGGGTACTGCCGGAACTTACGGTCCAGTATACCGGAACGTACCCTGGTCACTATTTGATATGGTTAGGGTTTGGGAGAAGGCGTAGGCGACTCTCTAGACTCGTGAGTGGAGTAGGCGAGGTACGGTCCGGCATATTAGATAGTACCAGGGTACGTTTCGGTATACTGGACCGTACCCAGGTTACATTCCGGCAGTATCCCGGGGGACATAGACCCTCTCAGCATTATTAGTCTAGATAGAGAATACACAAACATTGAGACTTTGGTAGTAAATACTTTCCGTGTCTATTTACCATCATTATCAGGAGTGTTTGATATAGATCTATATAATACACTCCTGATATTATTAGTTCCACAGGCACTTGAAGCGTTTCAATAAAATATAATGCTAAATAAATACGAAATGTATTGACTACCAAATTCTTAATGTTTCTATACTCTCTTTCACCTATTATTGCCGGCAGTTTCCTGTAAATTCCGTCCAAATCCTCTACATATGTGCAACACACGCTACCGGCTGCCATGGCTGCCGCTGCACACTAACACTTATACATAGAGGATTTGGATGGAATTTACAGGAAACTGTCGGCAATAATAGGTGAAAGAGAGTATATAAACATTAAGAATTTGGTAGTAAATAGATTTCGTATTTATTTAGCATTATATTTTATTGAAACGCTTTAAGTGCCTGTGATTAGTTCCTGTGCCTGTTGTGCATCCATGCATCCCTCTATACATTAGTTACCATGTTTAGTATCACAGGCACTTGGAACGTCTCAATAAAAAAAAAGGTAAATAAACACGAAATGTATTTACTACCAAAGTCTTAATGTTTCTCTGCTCTATTTCGCCTATTATTGCCGATAATTACTCGTAAATGCCGGTCAAATGCTCATCTGCAACACACAAGTAAACCGCACGCCCGCCCTGTGCACAAACAACATGAACAAGAGAGTTATGTTATCTCTCTTATTCATGTTGTTTGTGCACAGGGCGGGCGTGCGGTGTACTTGTGTGTTGCAGATGAGCATTTGACCGTCATTTACGGGTAATTATCGGCAATAATAGGCGACATAGAGTAGAGAAACATTAAGACTGGGTAGACTGGTAGTAAATACATTTCGTGTATATTTACCTTTTTTATTTTATTGAGACGTTCCAAGTGCCTGTGCTTAGTGTCACAGGTGCTTCTTCACTTGCAGTATTGGTCGTGACATTTTCTTGCACATAACGTGATAAATCGTTCTTGCTGTTTTTAGCACATTTTAATAATTGAAAATCGACGCTCATTTCCAGCACATCGTTAGCATTGCATGGCAGGATGTAATTGGGTGTTTGCGTTGTGGCCACGTCTGTGTTAGTCGAGGTACTAATAACATTCTTATCTAACTCTTTTAGCTGATATCTTCTTGTAAATATTAGCTTTTTCGTGCACTACTCTAACGTGGTTACCATATATAGAGAAATCTTGATATCAAGTTTGATCATTATCGTCATCATCGTCATCATCAGCGTTATCATCTTCATTGTCGTTATCGGCGTGATCCGTACATACACGTGTAGTCAAATATCAATAGCTGCTCGAGTCGTGGGTATTATGAGCTAGAAGGCCGATCAGGTAAGATGTGTCCGCTCTCTCTCTCACATGTAGGTCAGAATGCACACGTGCTAGGCAATATCTGTCACGCCTCTCACACAGGGATGACTATCCTACAGCATATAGAACGTGAGTCATGCCAACAACCCAGGCAGCGAGGGGGATGCGTTAGATTGCAACAGATCATCTGCTTCTGTTTCCGGAGCGGGACGAGCTGTACCGATAGTTATTACATGGTCGAAAAAAATTGGCCACCAACTACCAATACAGGCATGTAGTTACACTCAACACTAGGGTATTTGCCAGCAATATGGTATGGTAACATTACATTTACGTCATCATAGAATATTATAGTTCTGTAATATAATTGTAGGCACTTGCACACAGTTTTAGTTGCTGAAGCGTTCGTTGTTTCCTACTACAAATGCTGTGGCAATAGAGAGAGAGAGGAGGAGAGGGAGAGGGATGAATAATGTGTGTGTCTGTGCGTGCGCGCGTGCATGTGTGTAAACGTGTTGATCGTTACCAACAAAGGAACCAAACTAGTTCGGTATTGTTTTTGCGACTCAAACATATAAATACTCCATAGCCTTGAAATGGTCAGTCATTTACGAGTGGTTATCATACACCAGCTGTACCACACAGAATTGGTCTTTCATATATATGTACACCATGAATAACTTACACTGCAATGCAGTCAGGTGATGTAAACATTATCCTCTTATGTAGACATTGCTAGTGTTCATACTCACAATACTATTACTGGACAGTGGCTTGTGAACAGTGGACGCTGGGCGGGGAAGCTGGGATATAGTCGTTAGCCTTGATAGAACACAGTCGTGTAAGTAAAGCTCTGCTGTATTAGCGAGGATTAGACAGAGAGCGAGGATCGGTAGATGCTAGCATTGTGAACATCTGCTAGTATAGGGAAACGTTTGTTTGGGGGAGAAAAGTGTACGTGTAGTGCTGTGAGTGTGTGCGTGTATGCGTACAGCTCGCTAGAACGTTCCCACAGCGCCACATGTACGCGAATGTGGGGCATGATGATATGTGGATGGTAACTACCTCTATTTGTATTGTTTGAAGTACTTACGTAGTATGCTACGTAACTGCTCGTTACTCGCATTGTCAAAACACCTAGATTTTGCGCAATACTTAATGGCGTCTGAACTGTAGTTTACGAGTACGTGTCTGTTTACGAAGGCCACAAAAAACTAGACTCACCCCGGTTTGCGCATGCCTTCGCAGTGAGTGTGCGCTTCTTACTAGTTTCTGTGCTCTCAAGTGAGACGGTACCGGCGAGTAAAACCCAAACGTAACGTGTTATGAATGCCAAGACTCGTTGTTGCGTTCCTTTGCCACCGCACGTCGTTGTCATGCGCATTAAATGAACGGCATGCAAATCTCACAGGCGGTTTAGCGTGACCAGTGAATGAATGATAGATACGATTCTGACACGATATTTTCTTGCCATAAGCATGCTAGAGGATCTAGACATTCACGAAATCAATCGGCGAGTGTTATTCATACATGAATGCAGCATCTCTGTGAAGCCCACAGTTGAAAGGCTGCTGTGAATAGCTGTGAAAAGCATTTGCTTATTTATTCACGTTTCTAGTACGTGTCCGAACGTGGTTGGTTCATTCATGTGTGCACATATTCCTTCCCCGGTTTATGTAGATACGAGAGAAAGAATCAATTATATTATATTGCTGTAGAGCATGAGAAGGGCTGCTTGAATAGAAGGCTATTTAGCCAGCATCTAGATCTGAGCGTGACATTGGTCACTATTGTTTGCAGGCTATTTATAAACGCGTATTTGTTCATTTGTGACCCGCTCCAGCATAATACGGACTAAGTCGCAAGTTATTGTTTTGAGTAATGAGCACGCACACATGTCAATGCTGAAAATGGCCTACCTGGACAAAAATGAGATTTTTACAAAAATAAGTTCCTAAGTGCATATTTAATCCGGATATATAGGGTCAGATATCTCTAGATTATTATGGTCATTTTTAATTTAAAAAAGTAAAAAAATAAAAAATATTTTTTAAGGGCCCCTGACCGCTTATCCCCGACTGGGCATCTTACCCAGAACGCTTTATCTCAAAAACTGCATATTCCGGAATAAGTCGGTTTCCGATCTTCAAATTGCTGTAGATCGGTCAATTCTTTAGATATAGCCAAATATTATAATTATATCATTTTAAAGGTAATTAAATGATCTATTCAGATATGCACATATAACTCAATTTGTAGAATTTCCTACTTAATCCTGGTTTTGCTGAAGCGGGTCACATTTATGCTCGGTAATTGAAAATTTGCACTGACGTTGTCAAGATAAACATCTTGACTTGGTTATTGATTGCTTCCTCTATCTATGTGGTGTACAATTAGTACAGTGTACAACCTCTGTAATGTTGCTAACAGTGTCGTACTGTACACTAGGAAAACACAGAAAGCGTAGGGCTGCCTTACAATACTGTAGCTGCCTGGTGCTAGCTTTCAACAAGAACTGAATGGTGTAATAAATACCCCAGTTTGCAAACGTCTAGTGGTTTTCCGAAAGTCACACAATTTCTGTCCTCGCATGAATGGACAACATTGAGATGTAACGGCTTTTCAGAATTACAACACGAGAGTGCGCTCTCGTGTCTGTGTGCGCGTGTTTCGCCTGCGTGCCATTCTATTCTGGCGGCTCTCTCTCGTTTGTCACACGAAAACCATCGATTTTTAAAACGTGATGACCGATTAGCGAGCGCACGTTTAATGACTGTTACGTACACGTATACCAGAGTGAATGACCTATTATGTCCGTCTAGACCGCTGCGCACATGCAGCTCGGCTTTTTTGTCGTGAAACGCAGAACTGTCAAACGGAAGACAGATCAATGCGAGAGAACAGACGGCATTCTTCTAAAGAACAGGCTTAGCTGGGTTACCATTAACCCCCGTAGGTTTACATTCCGTGTTCGCGCGTGTTTCAGGTTGTAACGCTCACTCGCAGCTAATGCTCCGTGGCGGCCGGGTTTTTCACACGAGGTTTCTCCGTGTTTCAGCTCGAAGCGTGGACCACAGGCATGCGTGATGACGACGATGACGACAGTTTACATTTTCTTCCACCTGGCGGCGCTGCTGTGCGCGCGGCCGTGCGTCGCGGACGTCGTCGTCGCGGAAACGCACGACGCGGCGCACACCTACAACCACGCGACGCTCGACATCACCACCGGACACATCTTCGCCGGAGCGAAGAACCGCCTCTATGAGTTCGACGCCGACCTCTCCACGCTTCACGAGGTCACGACCGGACCGAAGCTTGACAACGTTGAGTGCGCGGGGCAGGGCGCGTGCGATGAGGGCAAGAACAAGCAACTGCTGGACAACTTCAATAAGGTTCTCGTGATCGACTACGACCGCGAGCGAGTCATCGTCTGCGGCAGCCTCTTCCAGGGAGTCTGTGAGGTGCGGCAGCAGCGCAATCTCTCGGCGGTGCTCTACCCGCGGCCCGGCGACACGTGGAAGTACCTCGCTGCGAACAACGAGACGGCGTCCACCGTGGCGTTCCTCGCGCCCTGGCATCCGAACCCGGAGAAGAACAAGGTTCTGGTCGTCGGAACGTCGTACACGTCGTTCCTCATCGACAACAAGCTGGAGACGCCGGACTACCGTGGCCTTGTCCCCGCCGTCAGCTCGCGCTCCCTCAACGACAGCAACCTGTTCGACTTCGCCTACCAGAGCCAGTTCACGAAGACGAGCGTGTCGATTCCGAACAAGAACCTGCAGTCGCTGTACCCGATCCGCTACGTCTATGGCTTCAGTTCGCAGGGCTTCAGTTACATCCTCACGGTGCAGCGACGCGACGTCGACCTTCAGCCGACGAACCCGTACATCTCCAAGGTCGTGCGCATCTGCGACGAAGACCGCAAGTACTACTCGTTCACCGAGGTTCCAATGTCGTGCGGCGACTACAACCTGCTGCAGGCGGCGCACGTCGGCCGCGCCGGGCGCCACCTGGCGGCGAGCTTCGACGCTCACTACGCGCTGAACGGTAGCGTGACGCCGCGGGACGACGTGCTGTTTGCGGTGTTCTCACGATCGCGCGCAGCGGGCGGCGAGCGGGAGACCTCCGTGGCGACGGAGCAGTCGGCGTTGTGCGTCTACCCGCTGAAGTACGTGCGCCGCGTGTTCATGGAGAACACACAGAGCTGCTTCAATGGAGAGTTCCAGGCGATCGGATGGATATATGGCTCGCCGGACGCGATCCCCCACTGCACCTCGGTAAGGGTCTCCCTACCACGTCCTCCTTATCTCTCCCCGTCCGTCTGTCTGTCTGAGATAGAGATAGAGATAGAGATAGAGATAG